AGCCACCAGTAAGAGAGGGTGCCAGCAAAAGGCATCCTCTATAAAGATAAGTCTTATAACATATATATAAATTAATGATAATTAAGACTGAGCTAGCAGATGAGAAGTCCTAGTCATTGACCAATCAGCTTTGAACTTAATACAAGTCTCTCTGTGCATTAATTGGGACCCTAACTTGGGTGGGTGGCTGGCGTAAAGCACACACGTGGCGGGGGGCTCGGTGGCTTTTCGTGGAAAGATTTATCGTAACAAGGAGGGGAGAGGAGGACATGAGAGAGCAGGAAGATTGAGTCAGTGGAAGAATAGAAGAGAGACAGAAAAGAGAAGCCTTAACAGAGGGAGCCATTATAGGTTTAAAGAGAAATCAGGCAGTAGGGAAATTTCTAGAAATCTACAAGGATGACCCCAACAAACAATCTAAGCAATAGTGGAGAGGCTACCTTAACTGCCCTTCCCCCATAATGAGATTGATGACTACTTTATATGCCATCTTAGAGCCTTCATCCAGTAGCTGATGGAAGCAGAAGCAGACACCCACAGCTAAACACTGAGCTGAACTCCTGGAATCCAGTTGCAGAGAGGGAGGAGTGATAAGCAAAGGGGTCAAGACCAAGCTGGAGAAACACACAGAAACAGCTGAGCTGAACAAGGAGGCACTCATGGACCCCAGACTGATAGCTGGGAAACCACCACAGGACCGATCCAGAACCCTTGAATGTGGGTGTCAATTAGGAGGCCTGGGCAGTCTATGGAGCCTCTGGTAGTAGATCAGTATGTATCCCTAGTATATGAATGGGCTTTGGGAGTCCATTCCACATAGAGGGATACTCTCTCAACCTAGACACACAGGGGTGGGCCTAACCCTGCTCCAAATGATATGACTGACTTTGAAGATCTCCCATGGAAGGCCTCACCCTCCTTGGAAAGCAGAAATGGGATGAGATAGAGAACTGGGAGTTAGGGGAGGTGGGGAGGGAGAGAGAACTGGGTTTGTCATGTAAAACAAGCTTGTTTCTAATTTAAATTTAAAAAAGAAAAAGCTAAAATGCAAAAAAAAGAGTAGAAATTAAGGACCAGTCAAAACAGCAAGAGAACACATGTGTTATGATTTACTTTTTGCTAATAGCCCCAAATGCAATCTTGGAAGGAACTTAGGTCTAAAAAACAGTTCCAAATTTTTGCTCTGCTTTACACAGAGGAAGAAGAGCTTCCCCATTCCAGCACTGATGGATGCTCAGCCTGGATTTCTCTGACTTGACATGATTAACAGTAGGGCCATGGTTGCTTCAAACTAAAGGCTGTCAGGGGCCAACCAGAGGTTTTACATCATTGTGATGAAGCCTTTCCAGCCCTCGAGAACTTGGAAGGCTATTGTCTAAAGGAGGACATTACATACTTTGGTGGAGGAATTTAGAGACAAAGATCAGGTAGCCAGTTCTGGCATTGATGGGGAAAGCAAAGCAGCCCCTGCTACCAGGTAGCATAAGCTTTCATGTAAACAGTTCAGATGGGAGAGGTCATAAAATAGAGTATTCTGGAGTTCCATAAATTGCTCATGTTATCTTATATAGTCCTGTATTCCCAGTGAAATTATGACTGCAACTTTGAAACTAATTGTTGAATATTGGGAATTAAGTGTTTCTTATTTCCATTACAGTATCTAACATTTCTCAGGTCCTGGGGGAAATTCTCTCCCTTGGCTTTTTTAGCACTCCTTTGAATCAAACTCTTAACATTGAGTTGCCTTCATTTGGAAAAAAAGAATGCAAATTAATAAATGATATTAGATATTATCTAGTTCCATTTCACACACAAACACACAGAGACACAAACACACAGATGTATGTATGTATGTATGTATGTACATATATCCTAACTGGTAAAGACTATACTCTGTCATAAAACATACAAGCTACTCTTTTCAGGGATTATTTATATAATTTGTTATTAATATATTATGAATGATTATTCACTCACACAGAAAGTTTTGGGTTGCCTACTTAAGGATTCAAGGTCTTGGTGCATCTACACAATTCATATGTGTGATGGCTTCACCAGATAGGACCAGCTTAATTTCAGGCAACATGCAACATTACACACAACCCTTCCAAATACAAAGATATTATGAGTTTTACAGGCTTTTTGGCTCCTGGACTATCTATGGGCTTCAAAAATTCCTCATCTAGCTTACTGCCCAATCTCAGACTTTGGGAATTGCCAGGTATGCCAATGTAGCTAGAGGTCATCTGTACAGCAGATGGCATGAATTAGACTTTGTGGTAAGGATAAGAAAGAACAAGAGGTACACCTGGAGTTTTAGTAATAGCTGAGAAAAGGAACTGGAGTTAGATGCACCCTTTCAGAACTGGAGTTTCTAACAGTGTACAATATCTACTAGAGACTGAGACTCTATTATCCTATAGCACAATAAAGCCAATCCCATTGGCAGAGGTGTGGGTGAGCCAACCCCAAAGTTGTTAACATGTTACTCATCTGTCTTGGGAGGACACAATGGCTCTCACTGGAGGGGTGGCTAGTGGGAAGCTGGGTATCATGTTAGGGAGAAATGGGGCAGTGATAGTGAAAAAGGGAATTGGGGGACATTTTGGGATGTGTGAAAAATTAGTGCTGTGAAAACTCCCTAGAATGTATGAAGGTGTTCCTAATGAGCACTCATAGTCACAGGGATACACAGTCCCAAGTGGCCATCTCTTGTAGCCAAGTGAGGCTTCCAGTGGCAGGACTGCGTTGCATTCAGTTGAGTTGTTGGCAACGATGGTCACATGGAAATTCCCAAACAAACCAGGCTATTGCTAAGACAAAAGGTTGCTCTCTGAAAACTGATATTAGTGCCCCATGTCAGAGGACTATACACACACAACACATTGAACATGGAGAAATCAAGTTGATGCCTACATGGAGCCTTCACCTCTATGTTCTAGTCTTTTGGATGAGAAAAGTTACTCTGCAGGCTATTGAAAAAGAAACGTCAACACCAAGTCAGCCACAAAACCTTTGACCTATAATCTATCTTGCCTGCAAACTATGCTAGGGATATGGTGTCACAAAACTTGTGGGACTAGCCAACCAATGTCTGTTTTGACTTAACGTCTAATCCACAAGAATGAACCCATACCTGATACTGATACTGAACCCGTACTCCATAACCCAGAGACCTAGGGTAAAACCAAACACCACTATTCTAGAAATAGTATCAATAAAATGACTCCTAATGATATTCTGCTACATTCATAGACGGTGCCTTATCCAGTCATTACCAGAGAAGCTTCCTCCTATAGCAAATAGGAACAAATACAAAAAAACACAGCCAGACAATACACAGAGAGACCTTGGAACACACAGCTCTAAATGGGATGTCTTCTTCAAATCCCTCTCCTTAAAGCTCAGGGAATCCCAAGTAAGAGGAAATGGAAAAGAATTTAAGAGCCAGAGGAGATTGAGGACAACAGAACAAGGTCCTCTGAATCAATTAAGCAAGGCTCAAATGAACTCATAGAAATGGAAGCAGCAAGCTCTGGGCCTTCATTGGTCTGTACCAGGTCCACTACATCTATATTATTGCTTTTAGCTAGCATTTTTATGGGTCTCCTGTGAGAATGGTGGGTAGGTCTCTGAGTCGTGTGCTTGCCCTTGGGACTCTTTTTCTTTCTGTTCGGTTGCAGTGTCCAACTTTGATCTGATTGTTTTTACTTCATCTTAATATGTCTTGTCGTTATCTCTCTCAGAAACTCTTTCCTTTCTAATGAGAGACAGAAAGGGGGTAGATTCAGAAAGGATGGGAGGTGGGAAGGAACTGGGAGGAGTAGAGGGAGGAGAAACTGTAATCAGGATATATTGTTCAATAAAAGGGGGAAAAAGTAAAAGTTTTGGTTTTGTTGTTACTATTTTTAAGACATGTCTCTTGCTATTTTACGGCAAGAGTACCCTGGAATCCATGGGATTAAGTGATCCTCGGGGCCCCACATCAAGAATAGCTGAGAATGTACATGCCACCAGGCCCAACATACATGCCTTACTGTTTAAAATAAATTTTTGTTGTTTTTAGTTATTCAAGTATTTTGTAGTACTAGGCAAACATTTCTGTTAAATGATTGATTCATTGAATAAACCCTTACAAAGAGGAGAGATAAAATAGTACACAAATGGAAATGAAACTATATAGTCTTTTGGAATGTCATGAACACAGTCTATCTGTACTTTCCAACTGTAAAAATTTTTCAAACCTGAGAGCTCTTGCTTATACATGGTGACGTTCCTATTCATTTTCCTTAGTGGGTACTCTCTGGCCATCCTCTCTTTCAGTCAATGAGTCAAGCTTTCTTATTCATATACTATCTTTTCTTCCAACCACTCTCATGTTGTGCTTAGAAAAAATTGAAAATTTGTTTGAATTTTAAAATAGAAATTTATGACTTAACATACTTTTTTGGTTTTTTGAGACAGGGTTTCTTTGTGTAGCTTTGGAGCCTATCCTGGCACTTGCTCTGGAGACCAGGCTGGCCTTGAACTCACAGAGATCTGCCTGCCTCTGCTTCCCGAGTGCTTGGATTAAAGGCAAGTGCCACCAATGCCCAGAAACTCAATATACTTTTATGCTTTAAAAACTGGAAAAAGACAGGCTGTCATGTCATAGTATGACTGAATCATATCTTGATTTGCAAACAAAAGATTTTATTCATTACTGAATAAAATGATACACACCTAACTTTTCCTTGTTTGTTAGAATTATAAAATAATTTACTAAAAAATATAAAGACTATCTGTAGAAAGCAAATCTGAATGGGATTAATCTCATAAAGTCAAAAGAAAGCTTCTAGGAAGACCACAACCGTTGTCTCATGTGCATAGGAATTGGTTCTGATTATATTATTATTTTCAAGTGTTACAGCATTGCATGTACCAAACAAAATAAAAAAACAGATAAAATTATTTACAATATACCATGTTTCACTTTTTTCTATGGTATAAATACTACTTACTTGCAGAAAGGCTTTCCATCTTTGCATGCACAGGCAATATCCTTTGGACAGAAATCTGCTGTGTTTCCTAGACAATCATCAAAGTCTTTCACAGATGTACAGTTGGCTGTAAACAGTAAAATTTAAAAACCATCTCAACAATAGAAAAAATGTTTCAAATGTACATACTACACATGTGCAAAGTTCTTAATATTAAGAAAATTGTTCATGTTGGAGGGAGCAGGAGGAAACAGACATGAGAGGGAAATAATGAAATTACATTTTCATTAAAGAAAATTAAAATTTTAAAATACCAAAAGGAAAATAAGTTGATGCTACTATAAGATTTTCAAACATCATGCTGACAAGGATTAGGCCTCAAAATTCATGATGAATATCCAAATATCCTTTCTTTACACTATTTTATACTGGCTATTTTGAAAATGTGGCTTTATAATGTGATCCATAAGACTATGGGCCAAAGGTCAACTAATATTTTTTGCACCAAATTTGAGTATACTCTCCTGGGTAAGAAGCAAAAATATCCTATCTAAAGGTGGAGGCAGTATAAAAATGATATGCTTAACCTCAATTTATTCCTATTATCCTGGAATGATAACTGCATCCCCTTCCCTGAAAAAAGATGCTAATTTACACAGGTAGATTAAAGAAGCCACTGTATGAATCTCTCACTCTCTTGCCTGCTTTTGGGACTCTTTTCCTCCTGTTGGTTTGCCTTGCCCAGGCTCAGTGTGAGAGCTTTTGCCTTGTCTCATTGTATCTTGCTTTGTTGCATTTGGCTGTTGTCTCTTGGAAGCCTGCTCTTTTCTGAAGGGAAACACAGCAGGAATGGATGGGGGAAGAAGCAGGGGAGGCTTGGAGGAGTGGAGGGAGAGGAAACTGTGGGCAGGATGTATTCTATGAGAAAAGAATCTATTTTCAACAATATTTTTTTAAAAAGCACCCTGACTAGTAAGCCACCGAGAGTAACAGGCACTTCAGCCCCAAAACATAATGATTTTTTCAAGGCCTCCAAAGAGATTTATTCTGCCAAAGACATGGCTGCTGGAGCCCATTCCCAATGAGAATTGAGAAAAAAGGTTGGAGTATTAAAACAAGTAAAGAAAACTTTTACAAATCATAGGACACATAAAGCATAAAAATTTAATCCCCCACCAAATGGTGAATTATTTTTATCCTTTACCAACATAGACACATAGACACAAAACAAAGTGTTTATCAATGAGATTTCATAATTGTCTGAACCATGGTATCTGTTTGGCATAGGACATGGTAAAGAATGAAGCTCAGACCTGTAGAGCCCAGAAGGAAACCAAACTGTTTCTGATTTTACTATTCAAATATATTACTCAAAGAAACAAAAGGGAAACATCACAAAACACAAAGGAATTTGTAAGCAAAACCAAAAATACAGTATAGTACTTTGAAAGTTTGAGTCTCAGTTTTTTAAAGATGAAAGCAACTTCAGCTAACCAAAATGTCCCCACTAACTCTGCACATTAGAGAAATCCCCACCAAAATTACTGGGCCAAATTCTTCTGCTTAGGGAAAATTTAAGCCACATCTGTTTTTGCCAGACAATGTTCAGAAAAAGAAATATAGTTCTTGGCTTGGCAACAATATTAGACTTTATTTTATTTTATCAACACATATGATTACATCATTTATTTCTTTAACTATCACTTTATAGGCCGGGCATTGGTGGCACACGCCTTTAATCCCAGCACTCGGGAGGCAGAGGCGGGCGGATCTCTGTGAGTTCAAGACCAGCCTGGTCTACAAGAGCTAGTTCCAGGACAGCCTCCAAAGCCACAGAGAAACCCTGGCTCGAAAAACCAAAAAAAAAAAAAAAATACTATCACTTTATAACAATCCATGTGATTTCATTATAACAAGTAAGTATATAACTTAATGTTACAATTTGAAAGTTTTTAAGAAAACAAATTACAACTTTTATACATTTTGAGAAACAAATTGCTAAATATCAGTTACTTAAACCACTTCCCAGCATCCACTCAACTAAAATGTTTACTTATTTTCCCTCAGAATTTTTCACATATTATGTTTATCTAAATGATCAGAAACAAACATGCTAGTTTCAGAAGAAAAAATCCTTTCAGAAAGTAAACATCTCAAATAAAGCAGATATGCCCAGAAATTACAAAATTTTAATGGCAGAAATTTGCTTAGAATGCTGGTTAATTCCTTAGGCTTGGACATTGAAACCTAGCTAATTCATCATATCTTCAACCTATAGAAATAAAGCAAGCAAAAATTTCTTACGTTGTGTGCAGTGTACCATCAAGAAACAGCAGATGAATAGAATTTGTGTCAGCATAAATGTGCAGTCCGCCATTGTGAAGGAAAAGCAGAACCCTTAGCAGTCTGAACAAACGAACTTAGGTCTCCTGCTTTTATGATATCCAGTTGGTGAACAGAGATTGTGAGTGGATTATATAGGAGATACGTGAAGATGGATTTTGAACTTTTCCCTTCCAGCCTGTGTAAATTGCTAATTAACTTTTCATTGTGGACTTGTTGGTTCCCTGTACCTGCTTGTTCCTGCTTCTAAGAATACAAGTGCTTTTTCTATGAATTGTATACTGCTTATTTTTATCCTCAAATGTGTATTATTTCCTAAAACTATCTGTTTATCTTTACACAAGTTTTCATAATGTTTTACTATTGTCAAAGAAAGATCTTTATTTAGAATGTATTTCTATGAATACAATTTTCAGCAGTGATTAGAATCAGAGATCTCTGACCTCATAACTACTGGGATTGCTAAGCAAGAATCAGAAGATACAAATGTGTAGCATTGTCAATAAGAAAAAGAAAAATTAGAAAATGGAATGCAGGCAAAACTAGGTAAGGAGACATGCTAAGAAGAGAAAATAAAAGGATGAAGAAGGAACTATTATTCAGGAGAACAAATACAGATGTAATTCAGTTGGGACACTGAACTTTCACTTTAACAGGAATGTTTAAAGAAAGAAATAGAGTTAATGGCTTGGTGAAAAAAATTTAAGGTTTATTTTATAGACAGACATGATTACATTGTTTATTTCTTAACCATATAATTGACAGTATATAATTCCTTAGGCTTGGGCATGACTACAGTATTATTTCTCACTAAAACCTAATTTCTCTATCTCTTCTGCTCTGTCTTTCACAGACCCACACCCCCCACACAAAAACACATGTTTAGGTTCACATCGTCAGGAGGACAGTTCACACTATGATGTCTTTATCTGCTATATATCTCCTACCTAGTGAAACTAGTTCACCTTACTACCCTTTTGCATCTCAAAAATCCATCATTTCTCGATTACTGGAAAGTATACTTTATGTACAATTTCCTGTTTGGAGTTTACCCAGTATTTTATTTTATATCCTACTCTTGCTTTCTGGCTATCAAGTAAAAATCAATACTAAGAGCTCCAGGTTGAAACTTCTTGTTACCATGAATAAAAATATTTTTCTAACTTCTTGGCTCATCCTGATTCACTCTAATTTATTCTGAACAGTTTTTTTTGTTAGTTCAAATTAGGAACAAGCTTGCTTCACATGTCAATCCCTTCTCCCTCTCCCTCCCCTCCTCCCAGCTCCCACCAGCTCCCTGGCCCCTCACCTCTCCTCTCCCCACAGAGGGTAGGGCCCTCTACAGGGGCTTCCCAAATTCCACAACATCATCCTAGCTCTGGCCTAGGCTCTCCCCAATGTATCCAGGCTGACAGCATCCCTTCACGTGGAATGAGCTCTCAAAATCCCTTCTTACACCAGGGGAAAATATCGATCTACTACCAGACACTCCATAGAGTGCCTAGGCCTCCTCGTTGACATCCACAAGCAGGGATCTGGATCAGTCCTGTACTGGCCTCCCAGACAGTAGTCTGGGGTCCATGGGCTCCCCCTTGCTCAGGACAGCTGTTTCTGTGGGATTCTCCAGCCTGGTCCTGACCCATTTGATCTTCATTCCTCCCTCTCTACAGCTGGGTTCCAAAGTTCAGTTCAGTGTATAGCTGTAGGTGTCTGCCTCTGCTTACATCAGCCACTGGATGAGGGCTCTAGGATGGCATAAAAAGTAGTCATCAGTCTCATTATAGGGGAAGGGCGTTGAGGGTAGCCTCTCCACCATTGCCTAGATTGTCAGTTTGTGTCATCCTTGTAGATATCTGGAAATCTCCCAGTGCCAGATCTCTCCTCAGACATATGATGGCTCCCTCTGATATGGTATCTGTCATCCTGCTCTCCTCTATTCTTCCTCCGACTCAGCCTTTCTGCTCCTCCATTTCCTCCTCTCCCCTCCTCTTCTACTCCTCTCATTCTGCCAGCTCCCTCTCCCCTACCCTCATGCTCCCAATTAGCACAGGAGATCCTGCCCTTTCCCATTCTCCGGGGTCCATGCATTTTTCTCTTCTTGTCCTCCTTGTTTCCTAGTTCCTACTGTGAAGAGGATTGTAGGCCGGAAATCCTTTGCTCTATGTCTAAAATTCATATATGAGTGAGTACATACCATGTTTGTCTTTTTGTGACTGGGTTACCTCACTCAGGATGGTTTCTTCTAGTTCCATCCATTTGCCTGCGACTTTCACGATTCCATTGCTTTTTTCCTACTGAGAAGGAATCCATTGTGTGAATGTACGACATTTTCTCTATCCATTCTTCAGTTGAGTGGCATCTAGGTTGCTTCCAGGTTCTGCCTATTACAAACAATGCAGCTATGATCATGGTTGAACATATGTCCTTGTTGTATGAATGTGCATTATTTGGGTGTATTCCCAAGAGAGGAATTGCTGGGGTAGTTTCAATGTTTTTGTATCTGTGGATGTTTGCTATATTGCCGAGTATGTGGTGAATTTTAGAGGAGGTTTCATGTGGCGGTGAAAAGAAGGTATATTCTTTTGTGTTTGGATGGAATGTTCTATAGATGTCTGTTAATCCCAATTAGGTCATAACTTCTGTTAGATCCTTTGTTTTTTTGGTTAAGTTTCTGTCTGGTGGTCCTGTCTAATGGTGAAAGTTGGGTGTTGAAGTCTTCTTATAAGTGTGTGGGGGTTTTATGTGTGGTTTGACATTTAGCAATATTTCTTTTACAAATGTGGGTGCCTTC